AACCACCAGCACGTACATGTGAGTGAACTTCATCACGCCATAGTCGTGCTCCCGGAACGTCCACAGACCGCCTACGTCAGAGGAGCGCTCCAGCATGATGACGTCATAGCCATCCTCCTTGAGACACTTGGCCGTGACCAGGCCGGAGATTCCCGCGCCGATGACCACTGCATCCCGCTCCACGACTGTGCCCGCGGTATCCATTCAGACTTCTGGGGACGGCAACACAAAGGGACAAAGTTCATGAAACAACATCATTACTTCCACAGCTACGTTGGCTCTCTGTTGTTAAAGCAAAGAGATACCGGTACCGACCTATATCACTAATATTATGCTTCGGTAGGCTTGCTGAAAGGAAAGAATGGTGACCAACCGCCTTTATTGGTACCAAGAAAACACCGCAGCTTAATGAACATACAACTCGCAGGTTTTAGAAAAGGTAGCAACACAGAAGACCAGCTTTTAAAACTTAATGTCAAGACATTCAAGGTGGATTTCAGGAGACAAAGCACGCTGTCGCCTTCTTTGTAGACCTCCAACAGGCCAAGGAAGGAGTGCGGAGAAAAGGCCTGTATAAGTGGATCAGGTTTTTCCATGCAGACACAAACATCAAGACCAAGATGAACAATGCCCACTCGTCAAGAGAAGTACGCGGTGTGGGTCCACCCAAAAGATCCTGTCTGAGTTGCACTTTTGTTCTTAAATCTTCTTCAATGATATGACGAAAGTGCTGAAATCCGAAAAGAGTCTCTACGCTGATGATCTTGCTCTCTGGCAGACACACTACAGCACGATTGCAGGAGCAGGGAAATTGAAGGAAGACCTCAAGAGGCTATACAAAATTAATGCCAAAAATGGACGCCCAAATTGAAAAGCTTCAAAACATTATAGGCCTACATGTTCATCATACAAGGAGCTGTAAAACAAACAACCAAAGGACAGCTACGACTGGGTGTAGGTGATGAAGGCCTCCCCAAAGAAGAACAGCCAACAAACCTAGGAGTCAAACTTGACCAAACTCTAACAATGCAAAGCCAAGTGGTAAGCATAAAGAACAAGGTAAAGAGAAGATTCCAACTTCTAAAGATATTTGCAAGCTATTCCTGCATGGGGATCTGAAAAACAAACTCCGAGGGCTCTTCACCTTGGTTACGTCCAATTTTCCCTGGAATACAACAATAGCCTATCTACTATGTGCAGTACAGCCACTTGCAACACCCTTGACAAAGTCCAGAACAATGTCCTTCGTTCTCTAAACGGTGGCATGAGATCCACAGCTGCGTGTGAAATCATTACAAATGTGGAACCCCTGGGAATTTGCAGAGATTGGGCAGTCTTGGAGCCCCCGTGAAAGAACCAAAAGAATGTTCCCTATCAACCCAATCAGGAAATTAGCCGATTCGTGGAAACCAAAGAAACAGCTCCAACAAAAACCAATCATGCATCACAACACAAAACTAAGGGATAGTCAACATCTGACTCAAAACAGAAAAGAAACCAAAAGTCAACCAGAACATCCCTCCACACATTTCTTTGAAACAAAAAAAAAAAAATAAATTTAAAAATTAAAACAAGCAGACAAAGAACAAAAATCGATTGCAACATCTCTCACAGTAAATAACACAAAATCTTCAATCTTCACACCCCGTGAGGCTGACCCTTGCACCACCTTAAACAATCGACAGCTTTTCAAATGACTGGATACACGTCTATACAGACGGCTCAGCATTCAAAGGTACAACCAAAGTCGGATATGGAGTAGATCTACTTAAACAATACCCAGATGAAAGTTCAAAAGAAATCTCTGCAGCCTGTAGAGAGAAATGCAAGCAATTATGACTCAGAAATGATGGCAATAGAAACAGCACTGCACAGTTTTTGACACTTTTCCTGAAACAATGCAGAGTATTGTGATTTTCATTGAACCAGTCCTGCAAGCATTACACAATGACCATAATCAGAACCAAGATCTGACTCATATAACAATGTATACTGTTTGGCTACCACCACCTGATAACATCCTGTGGTGTCAACCTGGTGATGCCCTTTCTGGACACTCAAACACACCTGAAAGTAGCATGGCAAAAGTAGATGCACTTGCCGAAAGGATATCTAGATCTAGAGAGAAACAGCTCAACATTCAAACTTCATATCACACTGTAAAAACAAAGATTAAAAGAAGTGATAATAAGACTGGATGAACGGATTGGGCTTAGGGAAAGACCAGCAGAGTGGTTTTAAACGATATCGCTACAATTAAACGATATCGCTACAATGAAACGAAATGACAATATCAAGTACCGTTAGGGAAAGGAAGAGATCACGATCTTCCGACTGGAAACAGAACATAAACAGCTCCACTTCCACTTGAACAGAATAAAACCAGAACTTCCCCCAACTTGTCCTTTGTGTGACGGCGGATATGAAACTGTAGATAATCACCTGTTCCACTGCCCCGCCCCTTATGACATCAGAGCGACACTTCTCCGAGACCAAGATCTACACTGCGAAACATTACACCAGCTGCAGCAAACCTGCTCGTATTACAACATGGCATTTGGCAGAAAGACGAGAGCTTAGCGCTGTTGCCGGATCGATAATATCAACAACAACAACAAAAAAACCCCAACGAATACAACATGAAGGACACGAGACGGACGTGTTAACATTCCATTTTTGCGAACACATCACTAGACCGTGACGTGAAAGAGGATCTTCTTCTAGGTGGAATAAGGCAGATCTCGCACAGGGCCCAAGCTAACTCAGTCCTTTTCTTCCTCTTCTTCCTCGTTCTCGATGACAGCAGCTAGACAGTAGTCAGTCCGATGTCGCGCACAAACTGTTCAGTCCGCTTTAACTCTGAGACACTGCCATAGAGCTTTCTCTCAAGGGGAGCCACATTCTTCCACGTCTGTGTGCGAAAGGTGGTGTAGCGCGGGCAGTGCTGAAGGATATGGTTGGCATCCTCTTGGTCGTGTCCACATTCACAGATCTCTGACTCTCCCACTTTTAATCTTGGTGTGCATGGTGTTTGAGTCTGTTGTGGCCACAACGGAGTCTAAAGATTGTGACCTGGTCTGCTCTATTTAGTATGTAGTAGGGACTCAGACCTTGACCTTCGACGCACTGGTCAAGTCTGATACCACAGAGCCACCACAACCATGTAGAGGTCTGCGTTTTGTTTTGCACGTAGAAAGAGTTTTTCATTTTGGAACGTAACTCATTGACCGTGTGTGACCTTTGGAAGCTGAGCAAAGATAGTTCTTGAGTCATTTCGTCCGAACCAGTGTCTGTCATTTCTCATGTAGAACAATGTGACTGTGTGTAACTTTTATCAGCGTTGTTGAAGTGCGATCATTTCAAGGGGTTACATATTACACAATCTACAGTGTGTTGGTGATAAACTAGATCTAGTATCAGAACCACTTTGTCGATAACAATTGGTTCAAGCGATAGGTTGGGTTGTTTTTTTTTGGG